AATAATTGCGACAATTGCGCCGCGGCAATTGCCCGTTAATTGCGGCGAACTGATCTGATCTGATGGAGGGGGAAGGGAGCGCACATGCAACGCGACGATACTGCGATAAGCGGCACGGCGAGGAACGGCGCGTGAAGTACCCGTCGTTATCGCAACAAATTGTCACACGCATATCGGCCGCCGTTTATCGCCAATTGTTAAGACGAGTCACCTTTGTTATTATTATTCCATCACCGCATCATCGCTCTGTCCGATCGAGGTGATCGCGGGCCTCTCGTTCGTCGCGAGCGGCATTTTCCACCGGCGAATCGTTACCCACGATCGAGCGACGAGCTCGCTGAAATAAACGGGCGCGAGCGGCGTGCGGCTTCGTTTAATTTATTTCGATAACGAAATACCGTTGGTGAATCGGTGAAGGTATCACCGCCTTTGTAAATTTTTCGCGGGTGCGTGCATATTAACGGTGCGCGCTCAGCCTCCCACCGGAGGAGGAGGCACTTTGCGGAATAATAAATAATAATATCGTTGTTTTAATGGACATATATATATATATATATATACCGATCTCTCTCCGCGCGTGTGACGATTTCAATATTTTTCTTTGATGTTTCAACACGCGCTCTCTCTCTCTCTCTCTCTCCCCCTCTCCTCTCCAGGCGATAGAATGAATCTCTTTACGCCCCGCGCGTCGTTTCGTTTTTCCCCTCGACCGACCAACTGCACGATCGATTAGCGTGAGAGAGTTCGCGGGGGCCGGCGAACAGAGAGACTCGACGTATGCCCATCAATTAGGATAGTTTTAATCAACTTAACGGCCCGGAATTTATAGAGCGATTCGTAGAAACGGCTCGATGACACGCGGTCGCTCTAATCGAATAAATCGCCCGCCGTAATACCTGGAACGGATAACTCATGAAGAAGCACACAGCCCGATCACCTCGAGCCGCGATCATTCCGAATCGCGTGTATTATTTCAACGATCTCGGTATTTCAACGATGTTCGGTATTTTTCTTTCTTTTCTTTCCGGTTTTTTTCTTTGTCTTTTTAATCCGTCGCGAGACGTGTGAAACTCAGACGATCAATTTGCGGCCGCGAGTTCGTCGAAAATTCGACTATCGAGCGGGATGTTAAACGCGGTTATTCGATTTCGTCGTACTGAAATAGCAGAATCGTAAGTGCCTACCTCCGTTAAGCGGGACAAATAAAGCTGCGGAATCGAACGGTTAAGTTTGACGTTAAACTCGCGGTCAAAATACAAGCCGCAGTTTCGAAACATAAACGCGCTTTCCCGATATTCTGGCTGAAATATAATGTTACGTGTAAAACGCGAGAGACGTGTAACGCGCTGGCTTTGAAAATATTAATCGGTAAAAAAGATAATATCAGGATGTTTATGATACAGAATGAGATACGTGCCGTACCTTGAAATTTAATTTTGCGACGTTAAAAGCGTCTTGCTGACCTGATCTGTTTGAAGTTAAATCACATGTAAGGAAGGAGAAAAGGACAAGGAGAGTAATATCAAGCCGATAAATAAAACAGCTGAAATAATATGAAAAAATTAAAAAATAATAAATATCAAAATAATATTTGCGACATTATACACGTGTTATTTCGCAACGCACGGGAAGCAAGGACGACGCAGCTTGGGGAGTCGAGTGGCCGTGCCCGACGTTAAACATGTTTTCCCGCTTCTCCATTTCGCGCAATAAAAATACAAAAGAAACAACGCTGTAACGCTGCAAATATTAAAACGGATAAAAAGAAAGGTAGCGGGATGTTGCGACATAGAATATTATGTGTCATCTTGCGATACGGAAGCACAGCCTGGAGAGTCGGTGCCAAGCGCGTCAGCTGAATGTACGGGCCACGTTTTCAGGAGGACTTGACGACGAACGAACAAAACGCTCACCGTGTACACACACGGTATCCGGGAGCCGTGGCATTTCGAACCTCTCAGTTACAGCAGACGGAACCGAGGGTCGCGCAGCTTTACCGCTCCGCTCGATACTATCGACTGTGCCACGCCGTGGGTATCGCGGCCACGATTTATTTGGCCGCGCTGTTAAATTGCGAGAGACGGAGAAAGCGCGGCGCGCCGGCTCTCGCGATGTACAAACTGCACGATTCTCATAAATGTCATTGCGAAGCCATAAACGTCACGCGCGTTCACGAGAGAGTACCCTCCGCCTCTTCCTCCTCCTCTTTCTCCTCCTCTTCTTCCTCTTGCCCCTCGCCCTGCTCGATCCGCTAAATATCAACGAACGAGCGAACGCTGTTCTGAAAATCGAACGAGCGGAAGCGAGGGAGCTTGTGAATTTCGAGTTCGCGATTTATCTCGCGAAGAGAGGAAGAGAGAAGGGGAAGCGGGAGGGAGGGGAAGCAAAAAATTAGACATATTACGCGATAAATAAAATTTTTGTTGATAACACGAGGCTGCGACAGAGCCGGGATCTGACGGATCAGAGTGGTATTGATAAAATTACAATTACAATTACAATTACGATGAATAAAATTAATGGATAAAATTAATGATTATATAAAATTGACGGTACAAAAAGGCTTTGATACCGCATCTCTGTGCGCGGATAAGAGGCGACCGACCGAAGGCAAAGCGAAATTGCAATTACAAAAAGACTGAAATTTATAAGGCGCACTAATTAATTTTGATATCGACACACACACACACACACACACACACACACACACATACACCAACACACACACATATTTGTACACTGTCAGTACAAGTTTTCGACAGTCCTCGACCTTTTATTTTATTTTATTTCCCCTCTTTTCCTCTTTTTTTTTTATTTTTTTTTTTCACAACGAGTGCCTCTCCACTCGAATCGGCGATGTTAACAGATCGATGTGCCAAAATAACGTCCGACATAGTTTTCAATTTCTACAATTGAACAGAGGGACGTACAGAGCGACGGAGGGGAGGGGAGTGATCGAGGGCGACGCGGGAGCACTCCCGCGCCTCGTCGTGATTTACACGTTCTCCGGCGGCGCGGACGATATTTTTCGCGTCGCGTCGCACTGCGCCGTCGTCGTTTCGAGAGGCCCGGAAATTTATTAAAACAGGGGGATATCATTCTGCGCCGTTCTTCGTCACGCGCGCCACGGCTCGCGCATTTGCATACTTCGACCCGATCGTTTTAATTATTCGGCACGATGCCGTGCGCGCGCGCGTGCGTTGCGACACGCCGCGAGGTGAAGCGTCGTGACGCCCGTAATAAAAGCCGGATAAAAAATGCACGCGACCGACCGTGTTCGCTTTTTGGCCGATATTGCACTGGTATCTTCTCTCTGGCTCTCTTCCTCTCTCTCTCTCTCTCTCTCTCCCTCTCTCTCCCCCTCCCTTTTTGTTCCTTCCTCTCTTCCTCGTTTAACGCTTTAGAAGCAGTTCGTTTTTTTCTCGAAAGAGAAATTACGGGATGGTGAACAGCGCGTTTCAGTCCGCCGGCGAAATAAGATCGCAGTTTCGTCTATTTTTTATAATCGCGATACAATTTCCCGCAGTTCTGAACGCGCGAGAGAAGTCTTCTCCGTTCGCGTGGACGTAGGGCGCGCACGTTTCCCTCTGTTCATTCATGTTGCCGTAAAAATCCCGTCCGCCGTTTTATTCCTCTATTTTTATATCGCTTCGGGGGGGATGACAGAGATGGGGGAAACAAGGGGAGAGAAAGGGCACAAAACCGTGCTTTAATTCAACATTTTCACGCTCTCGGAGAGAAACGCGGAATTACACCTCGGCATCACCGAGATATTTACCTTACCATGAACAATATCCAATGATAATCCGGCTGTACAATCCAATAATTATTCCAGCTAAACGCTTATCGCTCCGAACGAAATCTGTTATATTGCTTGTTAATTGGAGTGTAATGCTATATCTCTCGCACTTTCTCTCGCTCTCCCTCTTTCTTTCTCTCTCTCTTTCTCTCTCTCTCTCTCTCTCTCTCTGTCTCGCTCGTGCACCAAACGTCGAAAATTTATTTGTTTGCTGCGCCCGCGTTATTCGCGCGCGCCACGGACAAGGAGAGGGAACGAGCGGGCACGAAAGGGCCGAACAAACGAACGAACGAACGAACGAACGAACGAAATTATGCGGCCGGAATTAATTGCGCGCGGATAAGTCGCCCGTTGGCGGCGCGAGCGCGCGCGGTCGCTCGTAATTAAATTAGCATGGCGAAATGTTCCGTGCGTTAAATGATTGTGTAACGGAACGCGGGACTTTTTCGCAAGCCGCCGCGGCGGAAGCGCCGCGAATGAAACGCGAGGGTCCTTTTTCTCTCTCGCTTCCTTGCGTTCCTTCCTTTTTCTATTTCTGCGGCTCGCCCGGCACCGCAAAAACGAGCAACACGTCGCGAAATACAAGTACACACGTTGGTGAGCGAGCGAGCGACGAGCGGGCACGTTTCAGCGAACATCATCGGCTCGCGAATGTGCGACCGCAACGAACAAAGTACGATAAATATGCAACCGTGCGTTTTTTTTTTTTTTTTTTTTTTTTTTTCAAGCGCCGCGTAATATCCGAGCGAGGAGCGACAGAGCGACGAAAACTGCGCCGAAATTTCTCCCGCGATTCCGTGGGAGTTCTATGCGACACACCGGCCGAGTTCTACACGGCATTTTCTAGTTCGTTTATCTTTTGTCTCGTAGGAATAATTTGACTTGTTGATCAGGGAGGATCCAGGAAGGCACTCCCGAAGGGATTCTCGCGTCGTTGTAAATTCTGAAAAAAGTTGATCATAATTAAAAAGTTTGTGATTAACGAGAATCAAGCGTACGGTCGAGACAGATGAAAATGTGTCGCCGAGTATTCTTAATAATAAGAACTAAACTAGTTATACGAATACCTTCAGCTTTCTGCCAAAATGCCAGCGATTCTGTGAATCTTGGAAGAATTAAAAGCGACTTTTAATTCTTCCGAGACTGCGTTGCAGCGTGTGTATACAGTTTTAATGGACGAAAGCGCGCGTTTGTTTTGCAGAGAGGACAATCAGATAATCGGTTCCTACTTGGAGATCCAGAACGTACTTTTCGCCGATTACGGAGAGTACAAGTGCATAATCAGCAACAGCATCGACGAGGATATCATATTGACGGCTCACGTGTATGAACAAGGTCAGTGTAAGTTTATAAAATTTTCAGCTTCACGCTCGCTGCCGTGAATATATCCGCTCTGAGCGCTAAAAATTTTACGCGAATAAATAACACCGACGCCTCCAACCGAAAATCTCGCGTTTCGACAACGTTGATTCGATCTTTTCTAGTCACCCTGTACATGTATGCTTGTACGTACAATTGTTAATTCAGCGCACTTAATTTCATATTTTATTCTTTGTCGTAGGTTTTTTCTCTTTTCTTCTGCCTGTTTTCCTTCTTTATATGTTTATTTTATTTTAATCTAATGCCGAAAATCAAAGTCTTTATCGGAATTAAATATGGAATACGGACGGCAGGTGAAATAATCTCACGCGTTGTTTACAACAGCCAGGCTCCGGTTATTGTTAATTACGGAAAATACATCCAATTAACCCCGATGCATTATTCGCGCGAAAACAATCTAGCGACGAATTCATTTTAATAATAGCCGGAAATGTCCGGAAAATATCTACGGTTGGCGTGTCCGCGCACCGCCGTTGCGCGCGATTTACTTTTATCGATTTTAATTATTATACGCGACGTATCGTCGGAAATTGATACAAATTAGTTTCGGACAAATTGGCGCGGAACGGCATCGGCATCGATAAAATTTCATTTTTAAATCGAACACAAATTTAATTTATCGCCAAATTTAATAACACGAACGCGCGATGTTTACGTCGTAATTCCCCACTCGACGTCGATGCACTTTAGAAAAAAGAAATCCAAAAAAAGGGTTGCAATCGCCCTTCATCTTTACGCGTGAGAGAAATTTCCGTCTTTTAACGAATTTGAAATATTTCCCGGGTTGGATAATTTCATTGGGTTTCACTCAGTCTTTTATGCTTTTTTTGTCATATTTCTACCACTAAATCTCGACAAAATTGTCGCGAATAGCAGAAAAAAAATATTTCAATAAATTTCCGAAGAAGGAGGAAAAATAGTTTTTCAATGATCGTATATGTAAATTAATTTAACTAATTAAATGTTACTATTAATAATGTCGCTATTATTGTTACTTTTAATCGTATTAACACTCGTATTAACACCCAATATGACAGAGAAGCTGCAAAATTTCAAGGTATTTCCTCTCGACTGTTACAGAGCCGCAATTCGTATTGCACCTCCCGAACGGTTCGGAACGGAAGACGCTGCTGCTGGCGGTGCTGGTTGTCGTGCTGCTGGTATCGGTCGTCGCGTTTTATACACGCTGCTGGCTGCCGCTCGCGCTACTTTACAGAGACAAGTTCGGTCGTCTCGAGGAAAACGGTGAGTGCATAAGTTTCGAACAACCCGGTCGGGATTGGCGGTCGATTGATTGCCGGCAGTCCGGCAAATTGCGCGATCTCTGGGATCTTTGATTTACTTCACTTTGATTTACTTTGGAAATTTGTATTTTCCGGAGGACCGGGAAGTCCGGGGAGAAAAACTCTCCTTCGGACTTCCCTCGGTAGGTCTGGAAGCTGCCGAGAACCGAGGATCGGTGTTTAATTTCCTAGGATAAAGAATTCAGCTCGTTCAATCGCTCGGAATTTGCGTTAGGACTCTGTAATCCTCAAAAACGTCGCAAAGTCACGCACGTTGATCGATTCTCACAACGATACGCGAATACAATGCGACGCGAATTAAACCCCTCCTTCCTCGTCGCTCTTGTATGCACTTAAAACTCTCATGATCTTGAAATTCGCAAGACACAAGAATCCCATTACGGAGCGAGCTGGCGCACCGCCGTGAGACGGGAAAAAATTCGCGAGGCCGAAAAATTCCGGAATTCCAAAAAAATTCCATGACATCGCAGGAACGACGAAGGGCGAAGAGCAAGGAAGAGAGAGAGAGAGGGGGGGAGGCAGAAGGGAGGGAATTTAATTTTCTAGGCTCGCGACTCAATTTTCTTCCGTCGCGAACTTCGCCAATTTGGCGGCACCGGAAACGCCGTCGGAGGGAATCTCATTGCCACCGTGACGAGTATACGGCGTGACGTAAAACTCAAAGTCGCGCGGATCCAACAGGATTCTCTCTAATCCCGCGACTAAGGTGATCCCGATGGGAGACCGAAGATCCTACCCTCTCTCCTTGTCTCCGCCGTTATTCGCTCCTCGCTGGTGTCGCCAAGCAGCCGGCAAAGAAAGACGCCTCCTTCTTCCTTGTTCTCATTTTTTTTCTTTTGCAGCGACAAATTCACCGCGACGACGTGAGACGACGGGTCAGCGTGAGGGGGGAGGGGGGAGGTCGCCGGCAATTATCAGCGACGTTTTTTCGCCCACTTAATTACGACTCTTAATTACCGTAGAGAGTACCTGCGACTCCGTTCCGCCAGCATGGAAATTAAAGTGGCTGTTCCTTGATCCTTTTTCTCCGCCCTCTTGCGCCGTCGATTGCGCCTTAATCCTTCCGACTTTCTTTCCTGCAGTCTCACCTACCTCCTCCGCCACCTTCATCCCCCGATTTATCTAAATAATGCTGATAGAGAGAAGAAAGGGTTGGTCGAGTCCTTCTGGTAATCCTTTCTTGGATGCTTGCGTTTCAAGATCCTGCAAGGTCCTTTCTCTTTCCTCCTGTCAACTGCACTATCTGGCATCTTATGTATTACAAATTGAAAAAAACGAATTTTCTCCACGGAGTTAGTCGCTTGCGTTACAGAGAAAAGGACCCTGCAGTAATTTCGCAAGAAAAAGAGAGAAATACCGTGCAATAGTTCCTCTTTTATTTTAAATTTCTAGTTGTAAAATACCAATGAGTATTTTACTTCGGGCGACGAACATTACTCAGGATGTGTGTATGTGCATATATATGTGTGATTAATTTATCCTAATTCAGAATATAATTTGGAATATATTTATGTCTTGTTTTCTCCCCAAAATAGGAATTAAGTAATAATTTAAAGGGAATTAAAAATTTGAAAGGGTTAAATTAAATATCTAAGTACTATTTTCTAAGCAGGCGAGAAATTTATTACGAAACAACGAGATAACTTGTAAAAGTAAATTTTTGTTACATAGATAAATATGCATTGGAATATAGAAAGGACCAATCTGTCGTGGCGCGTCAAATGCCGATAGAAATGCTCAATTCGTAATCCACCGTACAGATACAAACCCCTCATTGAAGATGCAGGCAGCGATTTTTGCGGAGCAGTTCGAAATGTTCTTGCATCGCTGAATAACGACTTCGTGGCAATCTTCCACACGAACGTGTCGTAATTCTCTTTGTAGTCTCGGTGAAAAACCGTCCGAACACCGCTCGAGAATAGTTCGTCACTAAACTGGATACCGGAGATAATATCTTGGGGAAAAGACCCTCCAAAAAAAATACCGATTCACCCGAACGCAGGTCAAAAAACGAGGGCGCGCCGGAAATACAATACGGGGAGCTAATGACCGCTGTGCACCGGTCACGTTATAAGCTGTCTTGGATAACTCTCGCCTTAAATTTCTACTCGGGAATAAATTCCACATCATTTTTTAGACGTTAGACTATCGAACGGCTTAGGGGAGAGAAAAACGGGCTTTCCGATTTTTTCGCACCGACAAAATTCGGCATAACCTCTCAAAGAGACTTCCCGAATTTTTCCGAGAAGGACCTCCTCCCGCAGGAAGATAGAAGATTTTTCGAAAATTGAGATTTAACAACGAGGCTTTCAAACAGGAACGTAATTTCGCAGAGAGAAACGTAGAAAAAATTTAAAGGGTTTTAGAGACTAGAAATTATAAGAGAAAAAGAGAGATATTGATAAAGCCCCGCATAACGCGCGGAGAGCTTCGCTGGCAAGTGTTGCATTCAGTTTCACTGCAATTAGAATTCAGCCGAATTTTAATTCCTCTAAAAGCAGCGAGGTAGGGAAGAAAAGCGGGAGGAAAATTTTTGTACGTACAAAAGACGGGACAGCGTCGTTTTATTGCCGCCGGACGAGTTTCTGCGGAGGAAGAGTTTGCGTAAATAGGAACCTCGATTTAGTTGGAGCTTAATGAGCTGCGTTCTTTTCCTTTTCTTTCCTTTTCTTTCCTCTTCCCCGCTTTCTCCCCCCCCCTCTCTCTCTCTCTCTCTCTCTCTCTCTCTCTCTCACACACACACTTTCTCGTTTTTTCTTCTTTCGTTCACCGCCGATCGCACTTTAATTCTTCCCGCTCTCGCAATTTACTTAAGTAACGCTAATTCCTGCCGGGCGCAGGAACTTTCAAAGGATTTTACGCGGACTCCACCTCGATGCCGCCGCTTCCCAGGTGCTTCAATATTTCAGACATACTGTAATATGAATGGTGAAACGACGTAACTCGTTACATCGAAACTCCCTCTCCCTCTCTGTTTCTCGCTCGTTTGCTCTCTTCTTGCGTATTACGACACTCAGCAGTTAAAACGAGACTATTGCCGACCTTTAATCGCGCTCTATGCGTTAAAAGTGATGGAAGGAGATAGATAAGACACGGAGTAGAACGAGCGCAATTTGCGTGGTGAAAAGGAGATGGCGATGGAGGAAGGAAGAAGAGGGTGTTTCGTCGGTTTCCCGCGCGCGCGCGCGCGGTTTGGCGTCCGCAGCAGAATCGCTCGACGCAACAAAGGCTCGTAACTTAGGCGAATTGGAATCGTCCCCCGCCTCTGTCAAAATCGCCTCCCTCAGAATAGCGTTTCTTTCTTCGAACCTCGGGAATCCAGTTTCGGCGCAGTTGGATTTCCCTTTCTCTCTCTCTCTCTCTCGTCTCTTTATTCCCCCGTGATTTTTGAAACGCGTCCCGAAGATCATATATCCCTGCGACGTAGGGGGAGAATACGTATTCATTCTGAGATCGTATTTCCCACTTGGACCTCCCCCTTCTTCGGACTTTGCGACTTTTAATCCCTCGTGCCGCGCGCTCTCAGTTGCAGGTGCTGCTAAGGAACCTTGATTGAGCGTTTCGATTATTTCTTCTTAGAAGGTTACATAACCTCAAGACACGCAGACACGGGTGCGAATAATTACGAGTACAGAAGGTTGACAAAACCCCCTTCCGCCGCCGATAGACACCCCACCGAAACGCCGTTCCTTGCTGGCGTCTGCGCGACAGACGGTCGTCGTTGCGACTGACAAGCTCTTCTTCGCGGGCCTCTCGAAGGGTCTCTTCGGGAGACCCTACCTCTTGTCTCGCTTGCGGAAGCCCAGCTTTTGCCTTGCAAACGTCGCGCTCGATTTCTCTCTCCCTGCCTCTCACGACGAGCAGAGAGTGTCCCACGACGTCGCCGTCTTATACGGCGGCCTGGGAGAAAATTGCGACGATTACTGGCGGATTCCTGGAACGCGCGAGACATCCCTCTCTTTCTCTTTCTCTCTCTCTCTCTCTCTCTCTCTCTCTCTCTCTCTCTCTCACGCGCGCTTCACCATTAGGCAGGGGCCCGGTCGCGAAAGCGAGGCGAACGACGAGGGGCCTGCCGGTCGGTTCATTTTCTCCGGCGTCGGCGAGATCCTCGACGTGACGGTATCATTTCTGGCCGGAGCGCGGCTTCGGCCGCGGCTAATGATATCTCGTTGCATGGCTAATGCTACGCAAATTGCGGCCCTGGATAATTGGGGCCCGACGACGACTACGACGACTCGACGACGATGACTGCTCGACGTTCTCTTCTTCGACTCCCCTTGCTTGTCTCGAGTCAAACGTGCGAGACGGGACTGCCGGCCGTTGGGGGACGGGAGCGGGGGGGGGGGAGCGTTGCAGTCGGGTTCCCGCCGAGCGACTCGCTTTCCCGGAGTAATCCCGACTCGTCACACGGTTCAATGGGGTGAGTCTTGAGAGTCATTCTGGTAGCCGCGACGTACGCCGGTCGTCCGTGTTTGTAATTGCGATGCAGGCGTCCGAGGCGTTCGATGCTTCCAAGTTCGTCCTCGGACACGGAGCGATGTTTCGCGAGTCGTGTTCGATAATCGATCCTCGCGGAGGGCCGAGGACCTCAGCTGCGGCGAACACACCGGCGAGCCGATGGCTCGCTCGGTCTCCGACAGCATTCTCACCTCGCTCGCTTTGGAAGTTAATAAAGCGGCGCGCTTGTTACGTCCCATTCTTCCAGCCCGCACAAAGACATTCCGTCGTTTCCTCTCTGTCTTTCATTTCCGCCTCGAATACTTCCCGTCCCTCCGTGGCGCGAGTTGCAGCGCGAGTTGAGATGCGTGTTTACGCGGAGAACTGCGGTGAAAACTCGCTCTCACGACGGAATTCTTTCAGGGGGAAATTAAAAAGGTGGAAAGTTCTCGCCGATCGAGTTAAAAGGGAGAGAAACAGAGGGGGAGGTGGGAGGGCGGATTACCGAAATTATGAAAATTTTATCCGAGAAATTAACCTCCCGACCTTTTTCGACCCGAGCATTCTGAGAATAAATACTCGCGATATTAAAGTACTGCTAATATGAGATCTTGTGACTACCGTCAGTAACGTTTTGGCCACGTTTTGACGAATAATGTGCTTACTACAAATTACCAAAATCGGTGTTACGAGAGAGGGCGCATTGCCCGTGCTTGGAATTCTTCAAGAACATTCGGATCAAATAAGACCCGAACACGGTTAACGAAGAAGGACGAAAATTTCTGCCAAAGCTACGTTCTTTTCGCGCGGAATAACTCGACAACACCGTTGCATTGCAAGTATTCCCTCCCGCCGCCCCCCCCTCTCCGTTGTGGAAATTTGCCCGATCGGACAATCTGATCTTTGCTCTTTCCCGGCTTTTCCCCCAGACGTCATACATTGTCTTTCGATATGCGTTCCGCTCGTGCGCGTGATCTGATAAATACCTCGAGATTACAGCGAAAAGGAGGAAGAAGAAAACGCGCGTCGCAAGCGGCGATCTCCTTAACCGCCGCCGATCGGCCGCGCGCGAGAGAGCGTTACGCGTCATATAAGCGCCTCCGCCGCTATTACGGCACACATTATTTATCTCTATGGGACGCTTTGCGCGCATAATGGCGGTCGCGGCGATAACGATTTAATCTATTTCTGGAGTGAACGGTTACGCCGTTTGCGCGCGCGACTACGTCGGAATAAATTTCGAGTAAACGGAAGCGATAATGCGCGAATTATTACCCATCCCCCCACTTTCGCCCTCCTCGTCGCCCTCCTTAGCGGCCCCCCCGTCCGCGAACTCCCTCTCTCGGCCGTACCGAGGCTCGCGTGTACGTGAGAAGCGCCGAATTTCCCGCTTTACGAGGGCGGTCCCCAGAAGTACCTGATCTAACAGAGAAAACACGAAAAATTTGCGAAAAAATATCTTTATTTCTCTACATAGTCTCCTTTTAGCTCAATACACTTTTCCCAGCGATGTTCAGTAGCTTCGATACCCTGTTTATAGTGGGAATCGTCGAGCTCCTCAAAATAGCCATCAAGCCACCTTGGTCCATTGTCTTGACTGTTCCTTCGTCTCAGGCGTGAAGTGATGGGCCCATGTTTCGTCCATGGTTATGAATTGGCTTTATTGCTGGCGAAACTTCGTCAAACACTCGATTGAAACATCCTCACGACGCTGCTTTTGTTGCCAATCGCGGCACCCATCTTGCGCGCAGCTTTCTCATGTCCAAATTTTCGGTCAATATGCGATGTACAGCACTTTTTGAAATGCCTACCATGTCTGCTAACTCGCGCACTTTCAGTCGACGGTCATCCAATACCATTTTGTGGATTTTCTTCACCATTTCTGGCGTGGTCACCTCATTTGGTCGATCACTGCGATGTTCGTCTTGGCAGCTCGTGTACGGCCTCGGTTAAACTCTGCCACCCAATATTTTACTGTTGTAAACGAAGGAGCAGACTCCCCCAGAGAAGAATCTAACTCCGCTTTGATATTGGTTGGACTGAGGCCCTTCAAATGAAAGTATTGTATCACATAACGATGACCAATTTTTTCCATGTTTACAAATTCACTGAGAGCGTTCACTATTGATGGCTGCCAAACAAATACTAAACAACGTAGCGTCGTCAAACTTCAAACTTAAGCTTTATAAGGTTGCTACTTTCTACCATAGTCATTCTTTTCAAACAACAACCGCTATCTATACGTCAGGTCAGGTACTTCTGGGATTAGCCTCGTATATTCGTAAAACGGCCGCGAGAAGCCCCGTCGAATTTCCCGCGGGACGTCGCGATCGCATCCCCTTTTATCGCGGGGTTAAAAAGCGGGGTTCATTTGTCCTGCCGCGTGCGCGATGAGCGTGACGGGCGAGCCTCAGGATCAATGCTCGAAGACGTCGACGTTGCATTACCGCCGAGGATGACGGAGGTGGATACAGGATTGTTCTCTCTGCAGTCGGTAGCGCCGACGCTTTTGCGTTTACATCGAGAGCAGATTGGTGGTGTTTATAAAATTTATAAAATTACAGCCAGCGAAAGTTACAGTCGCGCTGTCCCGCTCCAAGTATATTTCTTCTTGTTATCCTGACGAAAAAGTATCAGCAGCAATACGGCTGCAAGGTTGCTGTCTCATTAACGTACACATAGTGGCGATACCTGCCACAAAAACGAGTTCGTCGACTATAATTATCGTCATACACGAGTCATACCGAGCGTCTTTCTCTCTTGGTGTTGACTCGGTGTTGATTTCCGATTCATTCTTCCTCGAGCGAATCACACGCATGTTAAGGTAAATGTCGCAGTAACCGGATGTTTAATAAGCGTACACCAAGAAAAATGTATTGTTGCGCGAACCAAAATTTTGTTGTAACAACAAAATAATTTGGTTAAAATATGCCCAACAAAATTGTTTAGTTCCTGCAAACAAATATCTTGTTTGATTACGGTTTGTTCGTATAACTTAATACTTTTGTTATAGCAACCAAAAAGCTTTAACTACATGAATTTTGTTAAAAATACTATAATTTTTTCTCAGTATATAAACTCTAAATTTTAGTGCACAGACAGACAAAATAGTATCCATTGGGCATTATTTTAGTTTATGTAAAATAAGATTTCGTTATTATGTAATTTTTATGAATAAAATAATTAAAATGCTTAATTTTTATATATGAAGTGTAAGAACAAAATCATTTGATCCAAAGAGAACAAAGCAGAAAAATACATTTAGTTGAGACAACTAAATATTTTGTTATATAAAACAACATATTTGGTTGCTGTTAAAAAATGCCTCAATTAAACAGTTTTGTTAGAGATACGAAATTTTTTTTCCTAGTGTAGGTCGTCACAAAAAATACGATATATAATATTAAGAATAGTTTTGATATAAATAGTTGTCAAATATTGGAATTTTTTTTTTACAATAATTATTACTTTCATTCATTGTTAAAATAAATGGTAAATATTTTTCTTCAAAGTGGTCGGATACTGGGACATTGGGACGTTTACTTTATGTCCTGCGCGGGAAATGTGGGGGTGCGAAATTGATCGTCGTTCTTCTCGTCGTTACCATTACGTTTATTTTTATTATTTCAATCTTCTGTTTTTTTCCGTCTCTGAGGAGGCGCACTCAGAGGGGTCTTCTGGGTGGCGGTCCATTTGGTAGATGGTACAATCTCGGTGTAATCCCAACGCGAGAGGTCAGAGACGGCGTGATCGTAGAGGCTCGCCGCTGCGCTTTTTAATAACAGCGAGTTTAATAAGCGGGAGAAACGCTAACTGGCTGTTCTTCTCCATCGCCGTTTTCATAATCGTAACCGCGTACGGAGCGCGGATTCAGAACCCCGGGGCTGAAAGAGACCGTAACGGTTCTCGTTCTACTTACAAGCCTTTAAGAAGTCGTTCGCCGGTCTCGCGGGGCCTGTCGCTCCTAGACACGGAACGTCCGTTTTACGCCGAGTTTCTCGGGGAGAGCGCCTCTCGGACGCGGTTTTAAGCACCTTTCGGACAGCCGTTTCCTCGCGTCTTTTTCTTCGCGTTTATCTGCGTGTGCGCGCGCATCAATGCACGTGTTGTTTTGCATCGCAATCACGATCTCGCATGACTGTGCATTGCAGACGGGAAGGACTGCGACGCGCTGGTGTGCTACCACGAGAAGGACTCGAGCCTGGTGATCGGCAAGCTGATATACAAGCTGGAGTCCAAGCATCGGTACAAGTGCACGCCGCTGGAGCTGACCAACCTGCATCACAATTGTAAGTACCCGCGTCCCGCTAATTAGCTGCGACCCCGTTCGTCCTCCTCCTCCTCCTCCTCCTCTTCCCCCCCTTTCTCCTCCTCGCCGCCGTCATCGTGTAATTACGTAGTCTTGGCGGAGTACCACCTTGAGGGACCACCGCTCTGAATACCGAAGTACCGTTCGTCGTGCCGTACCGTGAGGAGAGAAGTCTCCTTCCGCCTTTTCTTTGACGAAGACAAAGCTATCCTCCTGTCCGCCCCTCCCCTGACCCTCCCTCCCCCACCCCACCCCGTTCTTCGTGTCGCTATTTTTAACGTCGACGCGGGAATTTAACCGACGAGATTAATCGGCGACTTGGATTTGGCGAAAGTTCACCGCGCTCCCGATAGACGAATAATGCTGCAAATTGCAGAAGAGGAAAGTGAAATTTACGATATTGTATCTTTCCGCGATGTCTGCAATGTTCCCTCGAGGAGACGTCGGGGGAAATCCGGAAAAGTGTCCTGTCCCCTCGAGGAGAATCTCTCTTCGTCCTTCGGCGGTGCGGCGACGCACCGCCGTTCTTCAGTCACGCGACGAGGCGGATCGCTGCATCGTCGGGGATCGAGCAACTTCGTACTCGCGCGAACTTTCGAATTTCCTACGAATTTACGCGTCCCCCGAACTTTTCCTCGCCTTGGCGCCGACCTGGCGAAATGTGTGCCGGGCGTGTTCAATTCGCGACACCCCGTATGTGCAATTCGGTAGCGGCGACGCGAAGATCCTTATCGTGTTATGTAAGAAGGACGACGTGAATCCGGTTAAAAAGAAAAGGGAAAAAGAAGAGGAAAAAGAAAGGGAGAGAATGTGTATGTGTGTGTGTGTGTGTATAAAAAGCGGAGAAGCACAACAAGAGGGAGAGGGAGTGGGAGGGGGGAAGGAGAGAAAAGAGGAAACAACGACGACGACGGAAGAAAAGAGAGCAAGAGGGCCAACGTAGCGAGGAGGGAGGAGGCAGGAGGATAAGAGAAGAGAAAGAAGGACTGCGAGAGCTGCGCGACGCTCTCAATGGAATCCCTATGGGGTTTATTTTGCGGCGCATCCCGCGGCGATGCGGCCCGCATGCGGCATGCAAATAAGCACCGGTGGGAGGTAAATATTCAACGACGAATGTGGGCCACGAATTGCGACAGCGGGCCGCCGCCGCCGCCGCTCCACTCGAGGCGCACGGGTCGATAAGTAATTTTACAGGGGGTTGGAGTTTATGAATCACGTATAAATAAAAGCCGCCGGCGAGCGGGGCGATTCGAGCGGACCGACAATCAGTCTCGTCGGTGGTGTCGTCGTCGTCGTCGTCGTCGTCGTCGTCGGTGTCGTCGGGCGGATTGAATCACAGCGAACGTGCGAGAACGCGCGGATCGATCTTGGTGGTCTCACGGAGACGAGACGCGACGAGGGTTGAAATTAGAGGCAGGCGCGTATAACGAGCGGGCGCGCGCGCGCCTATGTCCTATCGGATGATTTAATTAACGCGTCGTGGGCGCGCGGATTACACGGCCGAAGCTGAACGACCGTGGATTCGCACTCGCAGCTGGACGAGGGAAGCACGTGAGGAACTCGTCGACGTGCTTGGACCGCGAGGCGACGAGAGGAAGCGGATCTCGCGCGAGGGTGCGCGTTTCACGGAGCTGAAATCGAGACCGCCGCGAAAGCGCGCGCCTGTCACAATTTAAATAGAGCTTCAATTTAACTCCCGGGGAATTAAAAGTACAAATGACGGCGGAAAACCGGAGAATATTGTTTTATTTCGTCAGGGGCAACGGCACTCGAAGATACACCCCGAGAGCGTATTATTTTTATCTTATTATTTTTATTTACGGCTCCCCGTCGCCCTCTGCCTCTTTAATTTTCCGCAAGATGCGCTGCGAAAAAGTTATTTTAATCTTCGTTGTCTCGTGATGATCGATTTTTGCACGGAGATACATGCACGTGTGGCATGTCCTTTTCTTTCTCCTTTCTCCCTTTCTCGCTCTCTGCCCAGCCTCCCTCCTTTTCTCGCAGAAATTACCGTACAAGAACTACTATTTTACTATACTATACTATTTAACTACCAGAGCTACGGCGGCTGCTTTTTGGAACAGGCTTTCCCTCATCAATTAAAAGTGTAGGCACTGGAAGTGCGTTTAAGCTAGAACTCCGTAAATTTCTTCTCCGAGAGAGATTGATAGCGCAGACCTGGCTGTAATTCCCGGGGATCCCATATAAACTCTCCATGGGATACTAAACGTTACGTTGGGTGGTGCAATCTCTCATAGATATCTAACGTATAATTCTACTTTATAGGGTCTATTTATTTTTATACTTGTCGTCCAAGTCTTCGCTGTATGATTGCGTTTCTTTTCTTTTCCTTTTTATTTTACTTTTTCTACTCCGTGATCTCTCCGTAAGGCTTCCTCTTGCTGGAGGATTAACTGACTCCAGAGCGATATAATAAACGCACTTATCCCTTACCTGTTTCCCTCAAAGTTCCCTCGAAAATTGCGAAAGCACGAGTGCGACCGACGATCCTACGAAGGTCCCCGAATCATGAGGCGCGCGCGCACAATCGGATCGCATTTCGCGGAGTGCAACAGGAAACTAGACAACGATCTAAACACCGGTCGGAGAGCCTCCTTTTGTTCCGCCTCTCCAATTGTGTAGCAATACACGCGCGCGCGCGCACGCACATGCACACCGAAACCGTCGCACGGCGCAGCAATTTTTTTCGCTGCTCACGCGCCCACCGGCCATTTCGCCGGTTTGAACGCGGCCGTTTGTCGGGGCAATTTGTTCGAGCGCGCGAAAGGAAATCTCTTGGCGAAACACCCGCCGGCCGTCACGGAAGAAACCAGCGGCGCGCGGAAAGCCAATCAAGTCAGCCAGCCAGCCAGCCAGTCAGCCAGCCAGCCAGCCAGCCAGCCAGCCAGTCCAGTCCGATCTGGAGGAATCGTCATCGTCAACAAGGGATGATTCGCCGCGCTGCGGCGACGGAGTCGCGACCGGAAGTAATGGAGATATCCCAGCAGGTTCGTTGGGAAATCACGACGTACAACTTGGCAAATTGAATTAGAAAGTTGGTCGCTTTCTCGGACGGCGAGTGTCTCGTTTGTCTCCGCCGAGACGGCCGTGGTATCGAATTAGGTGCGCGCCGCGGAGCCGCCACGTGTGCAACCACGAGCTCCTCGTTTTCAGCGCCGCGAACTTGCCGAAGCATAGAGACTGAGAAAGGAGGATGTTGTGTGTGTGTGTGTGTGTGAGAAGGAGAGACCATATGAGAGTGGCATAGTCGTCGCGTCAACGGCGATGATAGATGTAACGTGGACTGATACATCGTTAATACACCGCGCGAGCTCGGTATAATCTGATGATATCAAAGTAGTGAATCTCAGGTCGCGAAGACTTCAAAGCGGCAGGAACTGCCGGCTATCGATGAGCAGCGGAGTAGATTGAATATTAATTAACAGCCTTCAAAGGTGGAACATGTTGTATGAGTCGATATTAAGGTACTCCGACAATGTCCACGACCCGTATATAAAGCGGACTATTTTCTATTCGACAAAATTAGGGCGCAGAACGGGGTGAAAGCAAAATATGAATATAATATTGGGTTGATTCAACGGTTTATTTTCTTTTTTTCTTATAAAAATTGAAATATATCGATGCGAACAAAACAGTCTCCAAGTAGAAATATTACACGGAAAACTTCACAAATTTCACTATGCTGACGTGAGTAAAATACGTATTTTAGTATGTGTTTAGTATGTGTATGTGTGTCTTAGGCTTTCAGAATCAATCCAATATAAGTAACGAGCGATTATCGATCGTCTCAACGGGAATCAAGATACAAAATCCGTAACTTAACATACAGACTGGCTCTTGTATCCAAAAAAAAAAAAAAAAAATGATGAAATCAACGCGAGGGTGAAATACGAACGATGCAGAAAGAGTGATCATCGATCGTCCGCGAGGAAGAGCTCGTCATCCGTCATCGAGCGGTGAATACTGCGATTCGCCGAGCGGACCAGTCTCACTTTACTCACCGTCGCTTACCACTTCAAAAGTGATCCGTAGCATCACGATTACTACCCGGTTTATCGTTCTATGTCGGGCTAATCACTCCAAACGTATAGAACGCATTGTGTACATGCGTCGCGCAACAAACACCGACCAACTTCATACGTTTCCTGGATTCTACGATGTGCTTTGCTCTTGAACAACAACCAACAGTAACTGCAGCTGCAGCTGCAGTAGGAGCAACAACAACAACAACAACTGCAACATTAACAAGCCAATTTACAATCCTCCGATTACCAGCCGGCTCGCTATCTTCCCCCTACATGTATGTATGTGTGCATATTTGTACCAATTGCACCGAGCGTAAAGTACATTTTATCGTTCTCCACTAACCGTACGCGCGCGAGCGTGAAATCAGACATCGCGGCTATAATATTCGCGCAACCGAATGCGAATCCGCATCGAAACGAGAGAGTATAATACTGCATACACACACCGTGTACATCTCCCTACTCACTAATTACGATATCCCGATTGCACGGCTTATGACTTTACATTCAGCGAATCGCGCGATGGCCGCAACCGAGCCCGCGGCGGCGGAAATGTGCAAAAGGGACCGGCTTTGACTGGTAAATTTCATAATGTCCGGCTACAGACGCTCAAGCGAACAAAGTTCACCCCCTTCAAAGCGTGTCACGGCCACGGTCCGCCGGATTTCCAGGCGGACGCGCCTCTCGCATGGATCTGAAGTTATTATCTGGATCAAATCTTACATCGGCCAGATCTCACTGACATGTAAACGACTGACAGAAACGAAACTTGATGAATCGTCAGCGTGAGCGTACTACGCTAGGAAAAATGTATTGTTGCGCGAACCAAAATTTGGTTGTAACACCAAAATAATTTGTTTAAAATATGCCCAACAAAACTGTTTAGTTCCTGTAAACAAATATCTTGCTTGATTACGGTTTGCTCGTATAAGGC